ATTGTATGAGAAATTGGCGAAGTTCCTGGTACCAAGCACGGGGTGCTTGTTTGAGGCCATAGATGGCTTTTCGCAGCTTGCAGACACTGGTGGGGTTATCAGGATCTAGGAACCCCGGAGGTTGAGTCATATAAACATCTTCAGATAAATTACCCTGCAAAAAGGCGTTATTTACATCTAACTGGCGAAGAGACCAACCATGAGTAACAGCAAGGCTCAAGACCACCCGGATGGTCACAGGTTTAACAACTGGGCTAAAAGTTTCGGAATAGTCGAGCCCAGGTCGTTGATGAAAGCCTTTGGCTACAAGCCGAGCCTTGTAGCGAGCAACGGACCCATCTGAGTGTCTTTTGAGCCTAAAGATCCACTTGCACCCCACCACATTGGATGCACACTCAGTGGGTACCAAATCCCATGTACCATTTCGAGTGAGGGCATCAAACTCCTCAGACATTGCTTTTCGCCAATTTGGATCTGTTAAAGCTTGGGTAACACATGTTGGTTCGTTAGGTGGGTGGAGTATAGAGGTGAAGGTGAATTTTTGAATAGGCTTGTGGATATTATTTCTGGAGCGAGTGGTCATTGGATGGGAGGAACGAGGAATGATGGCAGCCACAGGTGGTGATGGATTGATCTGGCCGTGACATGGTAATGCTGGAGAAGGAAGAGAAGGTTCGGTGTTTAAGGGAGAAGGGACCGCAATCTGTGAAGAGTTAGAATCACTTACATGTGGTGTGGACAGTGAGGAGTCTATCACGTTGGAGACGACATTGGGCGTTGGAGATGCAGTTACGTTTGGCTCTGTGAGTGGGCAGTGAACGACTACTGTGGGTGGAACCCACGACTCAAGTGAAGGCTGAACATAGTTAGATTCTTGAGTTGAATGTGAAGAGTTATATGGAAACATGGACTCGACAAAAGACACATGGCGAGAAACAATAGTGTTGGAGGACTCTTGATCAAAACACAGATAACCACTTTGTGACAAAGAATAGCCCAAAAAGATGCATGGCTTGGAACGTTGGTCAAGTTTGTGACTAGTGTAAGGCCGAAGCCATGGATAGCACAAACAACCAAAAGTTCGAAGCTTATCATAATTAGGGGCTGTTTTGAAAATTTTTTCATATGGTGAAGAAAGTTGAAGTGTACGTGTAGGCATTCGATTAATTAGATAAACTGCTGTTGAAAAAGCATAGGACCAAAAAATATTGGGCAGGGAGGCGTGTGAGAGTAGGGAAAGACCTGTTTCCACTATATGTCTATGTTTTCGTTCAGAGAGTCCATTATGTTCAGGTGTGTGCGGTGGTGTGGTGAGATGAGAAATACCATGTTCAGCAAAATAGTCTCGGAGGACAAGAAATTCTCCCCCATTATCTGAATAAAAAGATATTATTTTTTGTTTGAAATAATTCTCAACCAGTGGCTTATATTTGAGGAATATATTTTTGACGTCTGATTTCTTTTTGATTGGGTAAAACCAAGTGTATCTTGTGAATTGATCAATAAAAATAACGTAGTATTTATATCCATCAATGGAGTAGACAGGAGACGTCCAGACATCAGAAAAAATTATTTGAAGAGGATGATCAGAATTTATTGAGGAAACTAAAAAAGGTTGCTTATGACTCTTATTACAATGACAAGCGTTACAAGCAAAATCCTTTGGACTGGACGACTTTAAATTATACTTAGAAATAATAGTTTTCAAAATAGGAAATGCAGGATGCCCTAATCTATAATGCCAGTTTATTGGTGAAATCTTGACGCTGGAAAACACGTGTGGACTGATAGAAAATGGAGAGATGCCCGGCCATTCGTAAACTCCATCTTTAGGTTGACCCTTTGCTCGTACTTCCCCCGTGAGTAGGTCCTTCACAAGAAAACACCATGGTAAGAATTCAATTGAAACATTGTTTTGAACACAGAATTGGTGAATGGAAATCAGATTGCGTTTAATATCAGGAACACAGAGAATATTTTGTAGGCTAAAAGTAGTGGTGGGTGTTTGAATTGACGCAGAGCCTGTATGCGTAATTCGAAGTCCAGTACCATCACCGATAATTACATCATCTGTTCCACTGTATGGTGAGTGTAGAGAGAGATTGTGGAGGTCATCTGTGATGTGGTGGGAGGCTCCACTGTCGAGAAGCCATGACGCTTCGTTGGAGGGTGAAGCTGCGGCATAATTTGCCCGTGGTTGCCACGGGGTAGGACTTTGAGCGGATTGCTGATTGTTGAGAGGGGTGATTTTGTAGGAGGGACACCTCTTTGCCGTGTGTCCCTGGATCCCACATATCTGGCAATGGCCAAGGTAAGGCCTGGGTGAAGGACGGTAGTTATCAGAGGACTGCTGGCGTGGATTGGATGCTTGAGACCGGTTGAAGGAAGTGCTGCCATTCTGGTTTTGACGCACAGGAGTGGAGGAGTTGTAGTTTCTGTTGGTATTGTTGCGGAATGTAGGGTGGGCTGTGGGGGAAAAGTGCTGCTGTTTGGTGGTGGCAGTGAGTGATGCCTCAAAACTGAGGAGTTTCTCATGAAGTTCTTCAAAGCTGATGGATGTGTCTCGGGCTTGGACAGCTCGAACAAGTTCTTTGTAATCGTCACCGAGTTCCTCCAATATCTTCTCGGTGAGATCTTCGGTGTCAACCGGTGCTCCTAGCAGGGACAGCTCATCAGCCCGTGCCTTGACTGATTGTAAGAAATCAGTGATTCCAAGGGTACCTTTGGTGAGGGACTTGAAGTGAGCTTTCACTTGTTTGATCCTTCCTCTGGATGGTTGAGCATAGGTGGTAGCCAGGAGTGTCCATGCCTCCTTGGCTGTGGTGGCCTGAGCAATAAATGGAATTATTGTCGGGGAAATTGACCCAATGAGGGCGTTGAGGATCAGCTGGTCCTGTCGAATCCAAAGCTGATGGGCTGGGTTGGGTGCGGTTGTTTCGCCTCTGATGATGGTGGATGGCGGGCAGGGTTTGGTTCCATCCATGTACCCCTGCAGATCATACCCAATGAAGAGTGTCTGGAATTGAAGCTTCCAGGACAGATAATTAGAGCTGTTTAGTTTTAGTGGAGCTTGGGCCGTGACATTTATGGTGATGAGATTGGTTTCGTTGACTCGAAGATTGCCATTCTGGGGGTTGGTTTGGTCGGCCATGAAGAAGGTGGAGAAAGAAAAAAAAAATAAAATCAAAGTGCTCTTGATACCATGTAAAGATGAAGACAGGCAATGGAATCATATTTTCTCATTTACAGAGGTGAGAGCTTTATACACGTTTGTACACTCTTATCTAGTTTTCAAAGTAGAAGGCTAACAACCTAAGCTATATCTGCAATACATTTGAAATACAAAACTGATCCAGATATGTGGATGTGCAGAGCTTATCATTATCCAGTAAGAGATAGGAGAGAAGTCATGGGCATTAGAAACTCCAAAGAGCAGATCTGTAGAGAGACCGTTATCA